TCAAACAAACAATGCAGAAGTATATAAAATTCAAAGTGAAGATCTCTCAGTCCCCCATCTTTTCACCCAGAGGCAACCACTGTCGAAAGCTTAGGGTGAATCTCCTCCAGGCTAAATCCTATTCATAGACTCAGTCATGCAAGTGTATTATTAAATATGAATAAATTTATAAATTCACACAATTTTCTTGACACAAGTGAGATCATGCAATATACAATCTACTGTGCTTTCCAAAACAGTAGCTACTAATCATATACAGCTGTTTGCTTTTAAATCTCTGAAGACTGGGGCGCCTCAGTGGCTCAGTTGGTTAAGCATCTACCTTCTGCTCAGGTCATGATCTCAGGGTCCTGGGACCAGGCAGTCTGCTTCTCCCACTCTCTCTGCCCCTCCCCCCTGCTCAAGAGTGCACACACATGCTCTCTCTCACTTTCTGAAATTAAGGAGGGCACGTGTTGTAATGAGTACTGGGTGTTATACGTAAATAATGAATCCTAGAACACTACATCAAAAACTAGTGATGTACTGTATGGTGACTAACATAACATAATAATCATTAAAAAAAAAAAAAACTCCAAGAATAACCTAGAAGGACAAAAAAAAATCTTTAAAAAATAAATAAATCTATGAAATTAAATAAAACAAAACATCCCATTATTTGGTCCTATTGGCTTTATTTCAAGCGCTCAGTAACCACTTGCGGCTAGTGGCTCTTACAGATTCAGAGCAGGTCCATCAACCTGGAAAGGACAACTCTGTTGTCCTCTGTTTTTTCACTTCAGAGTAGGTCTTGCAAACCAAGAGCAGCAAAATTTGTCAAGCGTGGAAGCTGGGTGATGGGTACATGGAAGTCTGTTGTACGGTTTCCCCTACTTTCGAATGTTTAAGTATTTCTATAATAAAAAGTTAAGGGAAGGATATGTTTGGGGCAACTTTCCAAGTCAGTGCATACAGACCCAACTTGTGCCTTTGAACAGCTATGTAGTTTCCACTGTGCCCATGGGCATTAACTGTGCCAGGGACTGGCTTGGAAGCCAAAGTTCCACGGTATAAAACTGTCAGTAGCAAGCAGCTTACCCACCCTGGACTGCATTTCCCAGCTCACCTTGTGTCCAGGTATGGTCCTATGACCCCAAGCAAATACCACATGCCTCACTGCCTGTTTTTAGAAAGTGGGTATGCCTTCTCCACTGTTTCTTTTCCCTCCTGCCACAGTCTGCAGAAGACTCTGAGACCCTAGCATGGCTGAGCCACAAGATAGAAGGCGTCTGGGTCTCCAAATTACCATTCTGAGGAAAACCACTGACTGGCCAGAAATATTTGCATTGGACTCTAAACCAAACAAAAATTAAATTTATTTTTAGTAAGCCATGGACAGTTTTGGGTTTGTTACAGTAGCTAAGGTTACTCTAACAAACACAACGTTTTATCCAACCAGTCCCGTCATGTAAACAAACATTGTTTATTCCAAGTTGTTACCAGAATAGTATAATGAACACATCCTTGAGTGTATGGTGAGGTATGTCTGTACTTTATACAAACATCTCTTTGGAATAAATTTCTGGATTAGGAATTGCTGTATCAAAGTGTATATGCATTTTCATAGTATTTTCTAAAGTATGGTATAGAGAGACAAGCACAAATATTTTAAGTATGTACTTTGGTGAACTATCACAAAGTTAACATCCCAATTCCATTTTTAATTCCAATAGTGCTCAGTTTTCTCAAATGTTAAGTCTTTGGAATTTCCACTTACAAATTTCGAGTATGTGCCTTGACTATAACATCTCTCACACTCTATGTAAGGCACAGATTCTTTCTTTTATTTATTTATTTATCTACCTAACTTGTCTGCATAGTGTCAGGCCGAGCTGGGTCCCAGAGCTGTGGAGAGTCATACGATGACTTCCTCACTTTCTGGAATCAATGATAATATTGATATTTTTTTTTTATCAAGGTGATCTTTTTGGAAATAGAGTGATAGGATTTTCTTTTCCACTTACATGGGTGTGAACTCCCTTCCCCAACACATTCTGCTGAAGGATTTACTCTCATTCAGGAGATTTTAGGACGTCTTAGCAGTAGACACACATGAAAGCGAAACAGTAACATTCAAGTTTTAATTACCAAACTGGATGTTTGGGTTCCCAGCAAAACAGTAGCCTTGAAAGCAAAGGCTTGTAAGATGAACAAGTTTGGGGATCTAGTGTATAGCATAATTACTCTAGTGAACAATACCTCATTATGTACTTGGAAGTTGCTACAAGTAGTTCTTATATATCCTTATTCCAGGAAAAAAAAGATGGTAGTTATGTAAGGTGATGAAGATGTTAGTGAACACTATGGTGATAATCTTTCTCAATATATGTGTGTGTAAGGGCCTACTTAGCCAGAGTGACTCCATCTCGGTTAAACAGCCATTTTGTTGTTCGTGCAGTAAAACTTAAACTGACCCTGTCCCCCCCTACCCGAGGAACTTACTTAAAAGCAAGTCTGGGAAACCAGTAAATATGGTCAACCAGTCCCTGATAACAGAGCCCAAATACAAGAACGAGTCAGGTCAGATGGAGATAACAGAGCCCAGAATGCAAGGACGAGTCAGGCCAGGTGGAGACATCCAATCAGTAAAGCACAAATACTATCACCCTAACCACCAAAGAATGTAAACCCCGCCTTTTGGGCGTCAAACTTGGGCGCCAATTCTGACCAGAGTGATAGGCTAGTTCAAACAGCTACTATAAGGTAAATTGTAATTCAATTGGCCACTCGCGTGTGACCTAACATGACTATGCAACTTTCTCTGTGTGTTAACAATCTCATTGGCCACCTGTATGTGGCCAGGCTCAACCACATGGCCTTTGCTCTATAAAAGCTAGTCTGTGAGGCTGGGGGTCATTGCTCTCTCCGTAAGAGACGGCCCCAACCAGTCAGTTTGATTCTCGATACTGGCGTGAAATAAAGCTTTGCTTGACCTTTGCTTTGTATCAGTCTCTCTCCTTTGATAACGGACCCCAACATGTGTATCATATCAACACATACGCACCTTAAACTTACACAATGTTATATGTCAGTCATATCTCAATAAAAAGATTTTGGGGTAGCCAGGCTTGAAGGACTAGAAAGTAGAGTTTTCATTAAGCCACGGTGTAAGGGAAATAAATACCTTTCACAAGGTAAGAGAAAAATTGTGGGAAGCTAATAAAGAGAGATGAGAGGGACCCACCAGAAGCCCTACTCCTCTGCCACATCACCTCTGAAACTTCTGGAAGGAATGGATGAATTGGGGTATCAAGGCTAGGGGCTGACTTCTCCCAGCAAAAACCAAGTAGAGTTTCCCAGTCTAAAAGAGAAGTTTGCTTTCTGCTGCTGTCACATCCAACAGGGTATGAGAGCCAAGGATTAGAATCCACAGAAGGAGGTAGCTAGTAGGAGGTCAAAAAAACATCTTCTGGGTTCCTATAGCCTGAACATGGAAAGTAGAAGCTCCTGCAAGGACCCCTGGGAGGTAAAGATCTTCTGAGAGGACTACCAGACAAGCAAGGTGGGGCCGTGCTCTACCAGTGGACAAAACATCCTACCCACAGTCCACCCTTGACAGCTTCAATATCCCATAAGTTGCCCCTACACCAACACACAGCCACCATCTTGGGCGGACCAAGAGTAGAGTAAGAAATTCGAAAGACTAACTCTTTGCACAACACAGACTGAATTTCCCAAATAAGGGTGAGCCAGGAAATGGAGACACTGAGAACACGAAGAACTGGCAGTGCTTTTCCTCTCCATCTAGCAGCAGCTTATGTAGAAGATGAGAACAATTAATACGTTTTTTAAATGCAGTTTTTTCCACATTGAGTTGTAGTTTGAGTAAATTCCACCCCCATTCCCAGTACCATTTATGAAGCTCTTATCACATGTACCAAGTAGTTAACAAAGTTACCTCTTTCGACTGAAGCTTCACAATGTCCCTGGGATGGGAACCTGTGTTAACTGTATTTCACGGTTGAGGAGAGTGACCATCAAGAGAGGTTTCATGTGACTCATCCAAGGTCACACAGTGAATCCAAGGCACAAAGGTAAGTGCGTGGAGGAGGAACCAGGAGACCTGGGTGTTACTTATCCCTTGCTCTGTCACTAAGTATCTCCCAACAAGTGTTCAGCTTCAGCTCAGCCTCCTGGGACAGAAGGGTCTCCTCCCCAAAAAGCATCTTCCCGCACATTGAATATATGGATTTTCTTTGACCAGCTTACCAACTGCCATTGATTCCAATGGGAAAACGACCCAGAAGCATAGACCACAATACCCTATGGGGAAAGAAAAGAAAAACACTGTGAGCCATCAAGAAGCAATGTGCTCAAGCTGAAAAAAGTGCTCCTGGAATGGCCTCATATAAGTAGGTTTGATGAATGTAGATGAGAGATCCAACAGAGTGACAGACATACAGTATGTCACATAATACAGCAGCCATTCCTGCGTTTCCGCACTTCATGTTTTTCATTTTGTTTGTATTATCTTAATTTTCTTTTACAAAAAAGTTCCAGCTGATTTTCAAAAACAGACACTAAAACATGTATTCTCAAGAGAAATGACATCTTCCTCAAGAAGGCAAAACTTGGTTCTCAGGGAGAGATGAAAAAAAGTGTCCAAAAGGCAGTGCAGCCTACCAGCATTTAGCTCTTCTTTGCTGTTACCACCTCTGTGACCCTTACCCCCACCACACCCATCTTTGCCCCCACCCCACCCTTCCCTTGACTACCAACCCCACCTTCAACCGCATCACCACCCACACTGCCCCCATGACCACCCCCACCTCCACCACTCCCACCACCTGACCTCCACCACCCCATCTTCTCCGCCCACCCCACCATCCCTACCATCAATGTCGTCATCACTACTCTGATGATTAACTCCAGGGCAGAATAAGGGGCACTAGTAGCTAATAAAAACGCTAACACCACAAAGCAACAACTCGGCATTCCTGCATTTGTGGTCCACGAGTTACCTGCTCCTTCTAAGGTTGCCTGCCGGTCCACAAGTCCCACAGACCCAAACTCCTTACATTCCCATTCATTATCACCAAAATTGTTTTTCTCCTTCATCATTTTAGATTTTTTTAAAGTTTTATGTACTTATTTATCAGAGAGAGAACGAATAAGGAAAAGAGCACAGGCGGGGGGAGCAGCAGGCAGAGGGAGAAGCAGACTCTCTGCCGAGCAGGAGCCCAATGCAGGACTCGATCCCAAGACCCTGGGATCATGACTTGAGCCGAAGGCAGATGCACCACCGAATGAGCCACCCAGGCATCCCTACTTCATCATTGTAGAGGGAACAGAGCACTGTTTTTAAGCATACCAACTCTGGAGCCCAAATGCTTGGATTTAAAAATCTGGCTTTGCTAATTATTGACTGCATGGCCTTGGAAGACTTATTTAATCTCTTTGCACCCATGTTTTCTCCTTCAGAAATAGATGCACTGGACCACAGCTAAGGAAGCCCACATTTGTTGTTCAAAACATTGTCCCTCATTCATAGATTTTTTTATTATTATGTTCAGTTAGCCAACATATAGTACATCATTAATTTTTGATGTAGTGGGTCAGTGATTCATTAGTTGTGTTTAACACCCAGTGCTCATCTCTCTCATTCATAGATTTGGACAGTGACCAAAACTTGAAAGACAAGAAGAAAACCACAACATAGGCCATAAATAAGACCAGTACAAACTTACGTCTGAAGAAAGGGAAATAAGAGAACAGACAGGAAGGCTCCATCTCATGGCTCAGGCCTCAGCACAAATGTCACCCCCTCCAAGAGGTCTTCCCTGACTTCCCCCTTCAACATAACTCCCAGTTACTCTCTTCTTTTGTGGCACTCCCACTGCCTGAAATGTTTTTGTGTAGTTATTATTTGGGACAGCATAGCCTAGTAAGGAGCAATAAAGCATATGACTCTGGAGCCAGATTTCCGGCTCTACTCCTTGTGAGCTAAGTAGTCTTGGGCAAGTCGTCTAACCTCTTTTGCCTCAGTTTCCTCCTTTATAAAATGGGGCTACTAGTCACCCAGTATTTGGAGGTGTTTTGTGAAGTTATTTGAGGAACTTAAAATGTTGCTAGGTGGGTGGTTACTGTTATGGCCAGTGGCTTCTTTTCTGCCTGTCCCTCCCATGAGGATGTCAGCAAAGCAAGAATTGCTTGTTTACCACTGCTCTCCCCTCCATGCCTACAATGGGACCTGGCACATAGTAGCTGCTCAGGAAATACATGTCAAATCAATGACTATAAAGAAAGTCTGCCCTGACAAAGGGAATTCCTTGTGCTCTGTGATTTTTGTCAAGGGCCCCCCAGTGAAGGTATTGGCAGTGTCCAACCTAAAATTGGGGTCTCTGGCTGAACACCCCATGGCCTTCCCTTTTCCCTACAGTATACATCCAGTGCAGGCTTCCCTCAACCCTCCCATCACCATTCAGCCCCACACTTACCCCAGAAGAGGAGCAAGCTGGAGCTCCCCATGGTGCTGTGTTTCTCTCATTCGAAGAGGGAACCTCTTCTATGGTCTTGAGATTTTCAGTAAACAGAATGTGTGGGAAGAAGGGAGAGGTGGAGTCAGAATTGCTCAATGCCACCAGAGCAAGACAGCACTTTTTGCTGAATTGCTGCTGGATGAGGACAGCATGGCAAACCCCTAATTTTTTCTTTCCACCATGGTGAAGAAAAGTTGGTCTGGTTGATGTGTCACTGTGTTCTCTCTCTCTCTCCAATCACTCTCCTTCCCTCCATTCTTGCTTTTCTTTCCCCACCAGCACCCACCTCTCAACCGCCTTTCATTGCCCCCAACTATAAATAAACTACCATCATTTGTCTATAATGAAGCAAATCCCACTCAAAGGTCTCCTCCCAGCACACCCCACACAAATAACCACCACAGCCATCATGGACCAGGTGCTATGCTAGACACATTGCCAATAAAATTTAATTTCATCACATCACATCAATATCATCAAGTAAGGATTCTGACCCCCACCTATTTTACAAAAAATAATAATAATAAAGTCAAAAAGGAAACTGAGGCATGGAGAGGGGCTAGGACTTGTCCAAGGTTACTTGGAGTCAAGATTTGAATCCAGGAACCTCTGGCTCCAAGGTCTTAGCACTTGAAACATCCCATCTGCCTTCAGCTGTCCTACATCTGACCACTGTACAGCAACACTCCACCACATTCCCAGCCCTAACACACCTGCATACACAATCTCACACACACGAAGGTCTAGTAATGCCTTGGCTGGCATTCCCAGGAGCAGATGCTGAGAACAGGATTCTAGTGAAAGTCGTTTATCAGGAAGGTGACCTCAGAAAACACCAGCTGGGAGGGGTAGGCAGTGAGATGGGGATGGTAAAGGGTTCCAGGGGGCCATGCCATCTAGGAAGTTGCACTAGAGCTCAATCTCCCTGGGCAACTCTGAAAGGTAGCCCAGAGAAGTCTTCAGTTACCCCAGCAGAGGGGCGAGGGAGCTGGGGTATCTATCCCCCAGCTACTGCCCATCATGCATTGAGGTTCACATCAACCCACAGCACCTTGGGCCTGGCCTCCAAGCAGAGAGAATGGGCATAACCAGAGTGTAACCCTATTGATAACAAAATGAAGCAGCTGATAGATATCAGTCTAGTGTGCCCCAAGGGGTTGAGGGTCACAGGTGTGTGTAGGCACCAAAAGCATCTGCCACAAGCTAAAAATGAGACACAAAGGTTAGCCTCAACTTCTTGGGAAGAAAAGCTCCCAAGTGTTTCTACATTCTCCCTTTTGCTCTGTACAAAGCAAAATACCCACCTTGCAGTTATAATCATTGAAGAAGATTCATCAGTGGTCCCCCCCGCCCCGTGTGCATCGAGGGACCCTACATGGTGAAGTTGCAGTTAAGAGTCAGAACAAAAACATAGCAAATTCCACCAAGAAAGAGGATAAACAAAAGATGTATTGTGTTAAGGAGAAGCACTGGAGGATACACAGACTTTAGAACCAGATCACAAGAGGTTCCTATCCCATCTCCTCCGCTTCCTAGTCATGTGTGGTCCTGGCAAGTTCTTAATCTCTCTGTGTCTCCACATTCCCATTTGTAAATTGGGTCCAATAATAACAGGTCTACTTCATGGGGCTAATGTGAGCCTCTGAGGAGGGGACATATATGGTGTGCCTAGTACAGAGTCTGGAATGCAGGAAAAACTCTGAGGTTGGCTCTTATGGCCACAGGAGATGGAATCAGACCTAGGATCAGATCCTGATTTTGCAAGATATTCTCAAAGTGACCTTGGAAAGTGACTTGCCTCTCTGGGCCTCAGTTTCTTCATCTGGAGAATAAGGGTACCAACAGGCCATGTCCCAGAGCATCACTGTGGAGGGATTCCATAATATGGGGTAATGTTGCCAACTGTGGCAACTTCCGGGATTTTCACTTTCTTCCATAATCCTTGTTTTGTGCATCCAAGGTGTGGACACTAAGGGCAGACAAATAAATGCAGTGGTTTTAACTTCATCCACAAATTCCTTGGTACTCTTCCCTTCAGGAAGAGGGACCTAATCCTCCTCTACTTGAGGGTGTGCTAGACTTGGTGAACAGGAAAAGGAGGGTATGACACTGGGCCATCTGAGACATCTGAGGTTTGGAGGGTCACTGTGGCTTCCTGCTTGCCCTCTCCTTCTGGGATCATTCACCGGGGGGAACCCACAACCATGTTGTAAGGACACTCTGCAGCACTGTGGAGAAGCCCACATGAGGAGGAACTGAGGTCTGTGGTCGATGGCTTGACTGTGACTTCATGGGGTGTGTGTGGGGGTGGGGGGACTTGATCCAGAACCACCCAGCTGAGCCACCTCTAGATTCCTGACCCTCAGAAACTGTAGGAAAATAAAACCTGGTTGTCTAAAACTGGAGTTTTTGACTACTCAGTTTTGGAGTGGTAGAGTAGGCAGCAAGAGACAACTGGTATACCTAGAAGCCATTTTCCCCATCACCAAAATGAAGACAACACCAGCTTTATAGGGATTGAGGTTTAATGTAATAAAAACCACAAAATCCTGCCTGACACAGATTAAATGCTTGATAATATTCATAGTCATTACGTTATTCTTTTGCTATGCTAAGTTGTCATGGCTACTCACAGAAGGCCCGGTACCAGCAATGACTAAACTGGAAAAGCCAACAAAGATCATTTCATGCAGAACGGTCTAATGTGCATGAGTTTGGACTCGATCTTCAGGGCACCAGAGGGGATTTCAGCAACAGAGAGAGGGTCATGCTGGGTTTTACAATAGCTGTGCCCTGGCCCAAGTGGGAGCCATGGAGAAGGGTGGGGCTGCATCCTGATGGAGAGAAAAGCATAGTGGTCTGATCTAGGGCAAGGGCTGTGGAGATAGAAAGGAGTTTAGGAAGCAGGGCAAGCAGAAATGGGGAAAAGTCTGGTGAGTGGGGAGTCTGAGACAGAAGGAATAGCCGACATTCAGAATGGGGATGGCCATGGGAGGAGGACATGCGACTTTCCTGCCCCCATCACAACAAAATACCACAAACAGCCATTTAAAATAACACAAATCCATTACACTATAGATCCAGAAGTCAGAGTCCCAAGTGAGTCTTGGGGGACTGAAGTCAAGACAACAACAGAGCTGTGTGCCTTCTGGAGGCTCCAGGGGAAATCCATTCCTTGTCCTTTCCAGCTTCTGGGGGCCCCTTCGTCTGTCTTCATAGCCAGCTGTGTAGCATCTTCCTGTCTCCCTCCCTCTCTCCTTCAACCTCCCTCTCTCACTCCTCTCTGACCCTCTTCCCTCCCTTTTAAAAACAATACCCGTGATTACATTAGACTCACTCAAATAATCCGGAATTTCCTCATCTTAAAATCCTTAGCTTAATCAATCTGCAAAGCCCCGTTTACCATGTAAGGTCACATATTCACAGGTTCCAGCAATGTGGATGTGGACACCTTGGTAGGGAGGTATTGGGGGAGCCTCATAATCCTACCTAAACATGGGTCTGGGGTCCTGGTCAGGGGTAGAGGATCAGGAGATGCCTGTTACCCTTTATTAAACCCCAAACAGTTAGCCAAGGCTATAA